AACATGTAAATGTGTTGGTTTTTTTTTTTTTTTTTTTTTTTTTTTTACATCCAGTTAGAAGTTCCCAAAAACTCTGTACGAGATATTTTCTACACATTATTACAGTGAACGCGAACTGCGAATACATCTCATTGGTGATTGTATTTTTCTCAATCATGAGGTATTATTTTGTGATAAAAAAAAAAAAAAAAAAAAACGTTTTCTACATCAACTTATTTCTACTTTTTTGATCGACTCGTTCGATGTCTGACGAGGATTGTTGGCCTTTTCTTCTCTCCCTCTTTTTTTTTTTTTTTTTAAAATTTTTTTTTTTTTTTTTTCATTTTAAATATATTTTATTTATACCGATTATTCATCCACGGCGGTTTTGTGAGACCACTGACGTTTCAACACTTTGTAATGTTTGTCTACCACTGAACATTTTAGAGCATCACAGGTGTATGTGTGTGTGTGTGTGTTTTTGTATGATTCCAAGTGAAAGGGGTGAAAAAAAAGAGTAACTTTAATGTTCATGGGAACAAAATTCAATTTTTGTCTTCTCGGTTTGTACATAAATTGTGTTCATTGAAGTTTATGTACAGTCTTTTTGTAATAAAAAAAAACAACACAATGGGTTGTGTGTTTTTTTGTTTTTTTTTGTTATTTAGATAATACAAAAATGGGTTTGGACCAAACTCATTTCAGCTCATAATAAAATAAGGTCATGAGGAAATTGGTTTAAAAATTGGGGTTTTAAAACGTTTTAAAAAACGTTGCAAAAATGAGTAAAAAAAAAGTGAATCTATGACAAGGAAAAAAAAAATTAATCCAAAATGGCTTGAAAATGTATCGTATCAAAACGGTCTTTGGAAGATTGTTATTAAAAAATTAAATGCAAGAAATAACTGAAAGTTATTGTACTTACCTACATTTTGGAGTTCAGCGATGCGTTGCCTTTTTTTGGGGGGGCAACATTTCGTCTGATTGGAATATTCCTCCTGTTAATTCCATCCCCTGCAGTTGCGGCCTTAGTCCCGCGGAGGGCAGCAAAACACCACGGGTAGGAGCGTCTTAGACGATGCTGCCGTCGAACAGTTCAAGCCGAAGGCGTCGATCTTCAGCGGGAATACAGGAAATGTTACAGGAAATTATACAGAAGTGATGAATGTACAGTATTTTCTGCCGAGGAAAGAAGGAAATGATAGTAGATAGCATAGATGCATAGTGAGACATGTCATGTCTTTGAGCAGGGGCGCTGCTAAGAATTCTGGGCTCCAAGTCGAGGTATGACAATGGGCCCCTATGTCACAAACTTGAATATATTTGTACATATT